CATCTCAGACCTCAATTATTTTGTGAGGCACAGAATTTAGCTTTGATGGTGTAGATGGAAAATGGTAGAAAATTCAGGCTATTGGGGAAAATTGAATGCACAAAAATGAATCCACTTATTAGAGACAACAAGCCCTGGTAGGTCTCCAATTGAGAATGTGGTTATTTGTAATATTGTAAATGAATTGGGCTGAAGACAGAGATGGAGGCTGTCATTACCACACGCCATTGATCTGGAATGGAGGCAGAAGATCTATCTGACACGTTCTAAGGAAGGCTCTTTAGATTTTGCATCATTTCTTCTCCTCATGCCCTGTTGTGGTAGCGTTTGGGCTTGAACTTCTTTGATACTTCTCAGAAACACAAGAAACGGGCTTGATCACGACCTTGACACTAACACAAGTTTATCCTTGGTTTCAACATTGAAGTTCTCGAAAGTGAGGCTGAGTTTCATCTCTTCAGAGGTTCGTTTGTGGAACTCTGGGGATTAGAGGCAGAAGCAAGCACCTGTCCCTCTAACACTGCAGATTTCCATAGGGAAGGGCTAGAAACGCAAACCATGTAAACTCTAACTATGAGAAACCCCAGGGCCAAGCACTGCCCAGCTTGGAAATACCACCCTGGGGCTCTGAAGTTCTATTGCTCCATATAGGCTTTGCTCAGTGTTTTCTTTTACTGTCTATTCTGTTCCAAAAGAAATCTAATGAGGCTTTAACTCACCGTTTCATTTCATGTTTTCTGTCTTATCAGGCTCTTTTGTCCTTTGTATGAGACATGAAAAAACTGTGAGGCTATCAGGGTATATTGCAGTGGGGATGCAGATAAAATATAGAATGTCCAGTTAACTCTGAATTTCAGATAAACCATAAATAGTTTTTTTTGTGAAAGTGTACTCCATGCAATATTTCGAGTTGCTAAATCTAGCGACTCTAGTTGCATACTTAGTTTGTTTTCTTTTGTCATGCTTTTTTTTTGATCATTTTTTGTTTTTATCGGCAGGTGTATGACGAGGGTGAAGAAGGAATAAAGAGAAGGAATGAGAGATGATTTTTTGTCCTGTTTTCAATCTGGGGATGATGGTTTCTTTCCTCTTGTGTAGAGATGTCATTTCTGTGAAATCCTCAAACTTCCAGTCTGAAGAATGTCTTCTTGGTTGTGTTTTTGCAAATTTCAATTTCTAATTTGGCTATAGAGTGACATGGATTTGAAATCTGGGCTCTTTAACTGAAATCAAAGAGCCCTGGTTAATTGCAAAATGAGCAAAGTAGCAATTGAGAAAGTATTTTCACCCTCCCACAGAGTAGGTTTTCTGTAGTCTGGCCTATGTCATGAGGATAGGGATAATTCAATCACAACAGTTGATCCTGTAACCCTACTTCAGAGATGTCAAGTGCAGATACAGTTCCATGTAGATCCTGGAGAATATGAATGGCACAGAAGAATAAAGGTGTCAGGCTGGGAGATGTTAGGACTAATAAGTTGATAGCTGAGTTTAATGAGTGTTTGCCATGTGCTAATCACTAGCTTATACTAACCAAATTCCTTTAATCCTCATAACAATGCTATGTGGCAGGTATTAGTGTCACTATCCCCATTACAGACAGGGAAACTGAGGCAGATGAGATTAAGTAAATTTAGTTACTTAACTAAGTTAAGTGGTTGATTAGTGGAACAAACTGGTACCAGAAACCACTACACTAAATTACCTGTCTCCCTAGCCTGAACAAGAGAGTATGCAGAGAGCAAGGCGTATGCATAAGTAGGAGTTGCTGAGCTGTTGGTATATCCAGACTGCAGTCTCCCACTCCCCGACCCCACCACGGGCACACTCTTGAAGTCCAAGAGGGGCCTGGGTGGGCCCTGGCAGCCCACTGTCTTCCCCTGAACACAGGCAGGTGAGCCAGGCTAGGTTGATGAAATGATCAGGGCAGTAAATGAGTTGTGAATAAATTATGAAACTGAATAAATTATACAAGGATTCTTTTTAAGAAAGAGCAAATGAAAGGTTACAGGTCAGAATTTAATCCAACTAAACTAAGCTAATCTTTTTCCTCTTCTCTTTTTTCCCAAGGCCTTCATTACTCTCCCTGCTACATGTTCAGAATACTGTGCTGAGCTCTGAAATCTGGAGGCACTAGTGAATTATTATGATTAGGTAGCCTTAGCCCTTCAGGCCTCAGCAGGGTGATGGTGATGTCCCACAATCCTAGAAATCATCCAAATTGAAGTGGCCAGTGAAATTAGAAGGAAAATAATTCCAGAAGGTCCAAGAGTATCATTGTTCCTTTAAAAACAACTCTACATAACTTGAAACCCCCTGGGAATATATATTGTTACTGTATTGCAGAGAGGATAAAGGACTCCACTGGAAGCAGATGCGATCTGTTTGATTTCCTCTGATACTATGAGCTGAAAACAGAGAAAATTACTGAACGGGATAACACTCAGGTTAAATGGAATAGTTCAAAGTTCCAAAGAGCTCAGTTTGGAAGGAAGCCTTTGAATAATAAACCATAAATTTTGTTGCAATCATCAATGCAAGAGAAAACTAGCTATGTCCCAAGGCTCTTCGCCTGGAAAAGGATTCTTTTCTTCTCCAAATCCCTCAAATGAATTTTCAATGTGCAAATAATGGCTATAATTTACACAGAAACTTGAAACTATTAATGGCTTAATCCACCTAAAATCCTAATGAAGTTCTGCAATTATTATTCCTGTTTATACAGCCCAACAGAGGATAGGAGTTGCCACCCGTGGCCCCTGGCAGCCAGCTGTGTAATGAAATGAGGCCGCAGGTCCAGTCACTGTACGAAATACCAGATTACTGTTGGGATTCAAGAGATCTGGAAGTTCAGAGCCAAAGGCTTTCGAAAACAACATATAGACCTACTTATTTCTCCCTTGAAGTGATTTCTCTAAAAGGAAAACAATCCAACGTGAGATTTAAAACCTTCCCTTTATTGTGGCTTATTTTCTAATATTCTGAATCTGAGCAGGAATAGACAGGGGGAAGGAGATGGGTTCTAAACACTCTGATCATAATCCAGATTCACTATTTGCTTGACAAGGGTGACAGAGGCCACCTTTCAAACTGGCAAGTGCAGGGCTGCCTTTTAGGAAACGTTTCTCCTCCATCCCCTCCCACCTCCCACCATCTCTACCTCCACCTCATAGATCATTGTCCACATTTATATCACCGAACCTGTAAATTGTGTATCTTTATTGCTCCTTTCAGACAGTGTATGCTTTAGGTTTAAACACAAGTGAATTCTGTGTATGTGGAGAACAATCTTGCAACTGGAGCTGTGGGGAGCGGAGCCCTCCCGTGTGGGTTTTGTGGACCCCTAAACAGCAAAACTCAGAATATACAACACCCACCACCACCACCACCACCACCAAAATATTTCTGTCTGGATCCAAAATTTCAGACAGGCTTGCTTCATCTGCTCTTCTGTTCCTTTCTTCCCGGATCCTGGCTGCCTCATTGCAATAGATAATTGAAATATTTCTTACTTTCTCAATACTCCTTGGGGAAATTCCACTTTGAAATTCTCTTTTCCCCGTCATTTTTACTTTACAGTTGGGAGGACGGGGATGAGCTGGGAAACAGGATCTCTCTCCCCCTCTCTTCCCTTCTCTCTTTTTTTAAATGACGTAGGGAGTTTGGACATCCTCCCTACCCCCACCTCCCCTCTTTGATTCTAACCCTGATTCCTGGAGTATTACAGTTTTCCTTTCAGTGCTTGCTGGCTACCGCACCGGGGAGGCGTTGGAGGGGCTACCCAAGGAGAGCCCCGGAGCTGACGAGCCCCAGCCGCCCGCGTCCGGGGGAGACGCCTGGTCGGATCAGGCGGTCGCAAAGCCCAGCTCGGCTGAAGCGCGATCACATCAGACAGAGACTTCCACGGGTCCCGCGGTGCGCCCGGCTCGGCGCGGGCGGCTCCACTCCGCCGCGGCCCGAGTTCGCTGGGGGACAACTTACTGTGCTCGCCGGGCGTCCACACCGCAAACTCCCCGGGGGGAGGGGGGAAACAGCCTAGGCAGTGTCGTGTCGGAGAGTAGAGGTCACAAAAGAGGAGCGAGAAGAGAGGGGGAGGGAGCAAGCGGGGGCACCAGCCCCGCGCTCCCCCAGGGCGCCCCTCGGGCGCGGATGGGGAGACCCTCCCGGAGAGGCGGGCCTTCCCTCAGGCCCTCTCCGGTCCGCTGCTCAGACAGGTAGTTGCGAGAAGAACGAACAAAGCTGCCGGCGGAGGCAGGCGGCGGTCCCGGGGCGCCCCCGGGGACGGAAAGGCCGAGGCCGCGGCGCCCCGCGCCCTGCCCTCCGCGCCCGCGCCCCCTGCCCGCCCCGAGGCCCGAGCGCCCCGCGCTGGCTGCCGCCTCCACCTCCCCTCGCGCAGCCTCCTCCTCGGGGACGCGGCGCTTCCGAAGGGACGGGCGGCCGCGGGAGAGGGAGCCCGGGAGGCGGCGAAGGCCGGCGGGGGGCGCCGGGAGGAGGAGGGGCAGGGGCGCCCCCAGCCGCCTCGCCGGCCGGGCACCGACTGCCATCCTGCAGCGATTTCCCTGTGTCATGGCTCCGGTCTCTTAGCAACAGCCACGAGTCCGGCCGCCCCAAGCCTCCGCCGCGGGCTCAACTCCACCCGGCGGAGCCCCGCGCGCCGCAGCCACACAAAAGAGGCGCGAGGGCCGGCGCTGCGCGGCCGCGGGGGCCCGCCCGGGAGCGCCGCGGGAGGGGACGCCGCGAGCGCGAGGAGGCGCGCCGGCGGAGAGAAGGGCTCGCAGGCAGGATGCAGGATGCGGAGGACCTGACACTTCTTGGAAACTCTTGGAAATGGCTCCCGCCACAGCGGCGGAGGGGGCTGCGAGCCTGGGGCGGGCGCTCGCCCCCGCTGGGCTGCTGAGCCGCGCTCCGATGGAGGGCCCCGAGGCGCTGTCCCTGCGCTCCGCCGTCGGCTCGGGCTGAAAAAGTTTCTCCATGGTTCCTTTGTGTCGCCCGAGCGCCCGTTCGCCGGCCCCGAGCTCCGCCGCTCTCCCCGGGTAAGCGAGCGATATTGTTTGCTTATAGTGCTGCCATTTTGAGCAATTCTGCCAGTCCCCGGTCCCCGCGCTGCCCCTCCCCGCGCTCCTTCCCCGAGCCCCGGTGCCGCGAGCTGGTGTCTGGAGAGGCTTTTAACGGGACGGGCTACACGGGGTGAGCTGCCCAGAAAAAGCGAGTTCAGGATTGTCCTCACTTCGCTCCTGCCTGTCTTCTTTTCAGAGGCGGACTCCCAGCTGCTGCACTCATGTGACTCCAACATAAATAAGCAGACCCAAACGAGGGGCGAGGGGATCGCTGCCCTGCCACTGAGGGGCCGGGGGTCGGAGACCTGGGATGGGTGCAGGGCACAGAGTAGCGCTCCCGGTCTGTGGGCTCTGAGCCTCAGACAGCGAGTGGGGCTTAATCCATCATGAGCGGAGAACTTGAATGTCTCTCTTGGAAGCAGTTGTATTTTTAGACATCCCTCCTTGGCTTCCCCCATCCTCCATTCCTGAACCACGGTAAGACCAGCACCAGGCGGTAAATTGCTAGGGCAGCCAACCTCGACTGCTAAGTTTGTTTTCTCTCATTAGGTATAAAGGACAGCCTCAAAGGTGGGTCTTCTGTGGCATCTGACCTTTGTTAGTATTTCATGTCAGATGGGATACATTAAAAAGGAGTACAGCTTTGGATAGAGTTGAAGGAATAATAAACTAGGGAGTTAATTACTAGCTATTAAACCGATTTTAAAGATCTTATGTAAACGATTGTTGAAATCCATTTCAACCTTCCTTACATTCTGCTGGAGCCAAAGCTGCTTTGTCAAGGAGAAATCCAAGCGGGTGCCTTCCTCCCCCCAGGACATCCAGCACCTTGGTGCCCCTGACCAATGGCCAAGAAAATGTTAGCTCTTCTCTCCTGGGAGAACCACTCTGCCAACTGAGTATGGATTTTCTTCTAAAATGTCTGGTCCTTAAAGCCTTCTTAAGATAACCACAGGTCTCCAGATTACTTAGGATGTTGGAGTCCAGGGATCACCTAAAACAACAGTCTCTATGTTACATCTACATAATAAATGTGTTTATTTTGGGGGGCTATGGATGGATAGTAGGCTTTAAAAAAAATAATCTGTACTTAGTGGTGCAGCTCCTTCTTATAACAAAATTTAAAAGGTTTATAGATGTAGTCTCTATACTGACCCCTCTCTGACCTACCTAGTGTTTCTCTTTACTGAAAGCTAACTTCCAAGGAGATATTGATTTGCAAACATAGTAAAGAGCTTATTACCATTTGCATTCCCACCGATGGAGAAAAGATCCTGCCTTATATTGATGTAATGGAAGGAAGCAGATTTTTGCCCAAGCACCAAGTAAAAGCAAAATTCTACCTAAGTTGTCTCACATTTTCGAAGGGTAATTTATTCTAAAATATGAATTATCTTATAATGGAAAAAAATACCCAAAGGCTTGTGAGTTATATCTAAGTCTTTCAGTTCATACAATGCCCTTAATTTCAGCATCTCTGTTATAGGAGGGAACACAACCGATGGAACAGAAAATGTTTTACTCCAGGGATACAGCAGGACTGAAATTTTTAGAAGCTGCTGGATAACCACAAATACGCATCTGTGAATTTACCTGCCCAGGCTTTATTACAAACAACTAAATAAACTTCCTAAGGATAGTCTATCAGCTGTTGCCACCTTCCCTTCCTAAAAATGACCTCATGAGAAAAGGATGAAGAAAACAGCTTTGGTTCTGAGAAATGTCATTCTACAAATCATCATTATTATGTAGAGGGCTTTACCTAGTTAATTGCCTACTCATTTGAATATTGGGATTCTGTAGAGTGCTCTTGGCACATTAATAAGGGGTCAGAAAGCTATTATGGCAGAGTGTTGTTTTTTTTTAAGATTGTAATTTTCCCACATGAAAAAAAGATCTTTCTCTTGGAGAATCGAGGAGACTTCACAAATTCCCTGATGAAATCTAGCACAGGATACCTTTAAGGGAGTTCCTCCAAGGGAGGAGAGAAGGCCAAAAAGGAAGAGCTCAGTTACATAACCAGTTACCTAAAACTAAATATTCCACCCCAAGAAGCTGTCCAGATGTTGCAGAGTGGAGATGCAGAGAAGGCTGTGAGAGGGATCTGCTTGCTTTCAGCTGTAGGAACAAGGATAGGTGGGAGACAACTTTGTCAAGGGATTTATTGTCAGAGTATTGCAATATCTCTGATGTTTTCCCAAAAATGAACTTTCTATTAATTATCTGAAGTAAATACACCATCTGCCTACCAGTATTTTGACCTTTAATTTTCATCCAGTGAAATGAATTCCTTTGTCTTTATACAATAGTAACTTTCCTGACTGTTCTAGTGACTTTGGGCCCGGCACTGACAGATTCCTCGGCTTAGAGACTTGAAACGCCTGTGGCAGCTCCCTTGGGAAATCCGATTCCAGCAGGACTAAGGGAAAGGCTCTTGCCAGCAAAGTCCTCGACCACTACTTTTGAGTCCCCACATGTAGTTTTTAATTAATGATTGGAACTCCATTGACTGCCAAGCAGGAGGGTTTGAAATGAACAGTGCTGGGGAGTGTGTGGAGGGATGGGCTGGGGAGGGGGGAGAAGAGGTTCTCTCAGATTGGTTCATCACCCACCACCTGTCAATTATTGCAACAACGTTTCCCTTCCCAAATATCTACCCCACTCCAGCCTTGGGTTAGTGGGCAAAGGCCCTAGGGTAGGGGCACACATGGAGTGGGATCTGGGAGCAGGGCAGTTGCAGCGCCTGGGATGTTGCTGCAGCCAAGCCCACACCCTCTGACTGTCTTCCTCTGCTTTGCAGCAGGAGGTGGCGGAGCAGCTAGTGGGCAGTTGGCGCCCCCCCTCCGCACAAGCCTCCACCCCAGAGACTAGTCCCACACTCCACAAGTTCGCCATGATCGCCACCGGTGGCCTGCTGAGGATTTCCGCCAGAAAGCAGGATCCCCTCCGCCCCCCCAGCCAGATCCCCAAGCGCAAGCGGAAAGCCAAGAAGAGGCGCAAGAACGACGTGGTGGTGGTGAAGGGCAAGCTGAAGCTGTGCTCCATCTCGGGGCTCATCGCCCTCTGCGGGATCCTGGTGCTGCTGGTGGGCATAGCCATGGCGGTGGTGGGCTACTGGCCCAAGGCCAACGGGGCCAGTAAGGAGGGGGGTAAGCAGCTGCCGCCCGCGGGCAGCGGCCACCGCGTCCCAAATACGGCCAATAACAGCAACGGTGGCAGCAAAAACCGGTCCAGGAGCCACTCGGAGACTCCGGAGGGTGTCAACTCCAGTTCCGTGGGCGCGCCCAGGGGCACGCCCGCAGCGCAGCCGGCCGCCCCTTCCTCCTCCTCCTCCACGTCGGTGGGTTTCTTCTTCCGCATCTTCTCCGGCTACCTGCACTCTGACAAGCTCAAGGTCTTCGGGCCCCTCATCATGGGCATCGGCATCTTCCTCTTCATCTGCGCCAACGCGGTGCTTCACGAGAACCGGGACAAGAAGACCAAGATCATCAACCTGCGCGACCTCTACTCCACCGTCATCGACGTGCACAGCCTCCGCGCCAAAGACCTGGCGGCCGCCGCGGCCGCGGCCGCGGCCGCAGCCGCCTCCTCATCGGCCTCGGCCCCCGCCTCGGCGCCCTCCGGGGCCACGCCGCTAAATGGCTTCCTCAGCTACGTGCAGTCGCGGGGCCTGGAGCTGAAGCCCGGGAGCTGCTGCGGCGCTGGGGACGCCTTCGGAGCGGCAGCGATGCTGGCCAAGGGTTCGTGGCCCCACCCCGCGGCGCTGGCTGGCGGCGGAGCGAGGGGCGCCGCGTCCCCGCCCGACCTGGCCTCTTCCCCGCGCTGCCCGCGGGAGCCCCCGAGCCTGGCCGAGGCCGTGTACAGCATCTACCGCGAGCGCTCGGGCGGGGCCGGCCGTCGCCGGGCCGCAGCTGCCGCCGCCGTGGCCGCCACTGCCGCCGCCACCGCGGCCGCCAGCAGCAGCAGCAGCCCGGCGCCCTGCAGCCCACCCGAGAGCTGGGGGCGCCAGAGCACCGCCAGCTCCCTCGTGGGCTCCTCGCTGAGCGCCTTCGCGCTGCTGTCCTTGCAGGGGGACCGCGACAGAGACGGGGACGCAGAGGGCGCGAGCTGCAGCTGGCAGAGGCCTCCCGGGGAACGCGGCTCCCGAGAGATCCCGCGGGGCGAGCTCGACCTGAGCTTGACCAGCCTCCGCGGCGCCGAGGGCGGCGCGCGCTGGGCGCACGGCGAGCTGGAGGAGCCCGAGGGCGCGGTGGCGGCGCGCACCGCCAGGGGGCAGGGCGGCCGCCTGCCTAGGACCGGCCGATATGCGGCCTTGCGGCGCCGCAGCACCAGCGGGCTCCCGGACTACCGGGCGCCGTCGTCCCCCGAGCCTCCGCCCTCCCCGGGCAGCGAGGACCTGGACTCCAGCCTTCTGGCCAAGGTCGCCTCCTCCTCGCCTCCCCTGAGGTTGGAGGACTCGCCCCCTGCCAGGCGGGACTCTGGGAGTTCCCAGTCGGATGACCCATCCATTAGCAATAAGGGCTACACCCCTCTGCGGGAGGCCGGCACCTCCTTGGAGTCAGTCATGGACGCGGTAGCCAGTAAAAGGCAGGACTGCGCGACCGCCACCGCCCCGGGTGCAGAGCAGAGCCCCCCGGAGGGTGCCAGCCAAGAGACGCCCACGGCTGGGCCACCTCAGCCGGTGCAGAGGCAGTTTACAAACAAGGAGAAACTCTTCATGATTTCCCGGTCTCATGCCCTAGGGGTGGAAGAAGAACTGGAAAGCACTGGCACTTAGGGAAAGAGGGAGCGAGGAGGCGAAAGGAGAGGAGATGGGAAAAGCGCCCGCTTGAATCAGTGCAATAACAGGTCCCTCTTTCCTTTGTGGACTGATCCGAGGACATCATTCAATATCCAAAGAGCTGCAGAATGTTATCCTTGAATTGCGTTCGCAAGATTCCTGTAGATAGAACTCCAAGCAATTTTTTTTAAAAAGCAAACTAGTCTTTTTATGTCCGATGGTGATTGTATGTTCCATGAAAACCAAATGTATTAAAAGGTCAGCAATCTAGTTCATTAGATGAAATTCTCTTAATTTTCTTAGGATGAAAATAATATATTTTTGACAGTAACTGTGCACTTTACTCCAACTTTTTTTTTTATCCCTAATTTCCCTAACCCCTGTACTCTGCCGCTGGTTTTGTCCATAGCTGCTTGTGAATGACAAGCTTTTTTCTCCTTCCGTTTGTGGAGCATAGAAGAGTTTGTCTCAGTTCTCTTAGAATTGATCTTACTCAATGAAGTCAAAGCCAAAAGCATGAGTAATTCAGGAAAGAGCACTTTCCTCGCTCTACCCTACTCTGCTCACCCAACTGTCCAAAGGCCTCTTTATTTTTCAAAAGGGCGTATGTTTTGCTACTAGGGTATGTTGTGCAGGCTGGAGAGGGCAGGAGCCAGATGGACTGTTGTATTCCTAAGTTCACAATATTAAGTACACCGTGCTTTATTGAGTGTTATCACACCTGTATTGAAAATAGCATTAATATTTAAAATCTTTTTTAATAAAAGAAGTTTCCAAACAGTTAAACATAATATGGCCTCATTTTGCTTTGTAGCTAGTTCATCTGGTACATCTAAAATATTTTTGCTGTGACCCTGCTACTAGCACTGCAGTTATCTTCCCCCAAAGTACTCAGTGCCATCATTACTCAGTCCATTTATAGTAAATTTTTAACTTAAAATATAGGGTAGTATTTAACATTTGGGAGTTTCTCTTTCAAATAGAATGAAACATTAGTCATTTTCAATACTTCTAGTTTACCTCAAAGTATTCATTTACAGAGCAGCAGGCTTCATAGTCGCTTCTTATCCTCTTAGATTTCACTATTTGATTTTGATTTTAAGTTTATGATCTTGAATCCATGGCCTACATAGGCAAAAAGGTAATGTTTTAATAATTTGGCAGATTGTTTACAATTGATGTTATTAAGAATCAATTAGTTAATTTTCAAGAACAGTAGACAAGATGTGGTCATGTTAGTCCCCATGGATGAGGCAGCTGGTCCTACGGACAGAGTGCAGATTCAGGACTGAGACTGGACCTCAGCTCTTGGTATTGTTACCTGTGTAGCCTTGTATGAGTCACAAAGCCCGAGTCTCCATCATCTGGTCTGTAAAGGTGGTTATCGAAATTATTATTACTATTATAATATGTTGGCTGAATGCATACTTGGAAGAAAGGGCCTTCCCTTGATTTAAGCTCAAGAAAGTATAGGCTGAAATTTGGGATAGCCACTTAATATCTGCATAATCTTAGACAGATCACTAAATCTCTCGGGGGCCTCTGGTGGATGATACAATCTCTGTGATCTCCGTCAGCTCTAAAAGCTTTACTTAAGGGTGCTAGAATTTTCCTGGATGTAATTATATCATATTTGTGCACATAACTTGGCAAAGAGTGAATATACTTCATGAACTACCCTTAGTGTAACATTCTGTGATACATTGAAAGGACATAATTTATTCCCAGATTGGATCTGCATTAAGCTAATAGCTCACTTTGGGCCTTTGTATATAGCAAAAATGAGTTGCCACTAGTGAGGGACAAGCAAGTGTAATGAGACCTCCAGGTAGTGTTAAATTTCAACAGTCCCAATTGCTTCATCACTCTTCTAAAACAAACCCTAAATTTCCCTAAGTTTACTTTCCTGTTACCTTGCATATTGGGGATAATTTATATACTGAGCGAGTTTGTTATTTAAAGGAAAAACAGGTTCTGGTGTTCTCAAATGCTGTTTGCAGTCCTCAGAAAATACACTGTAAGACATTTAGCAAATAATAAAGCCACTACCTCTAGTTCAACTAAAGAGATGTGGGTAAAATAATATTTGTCTATTAAAAACTTCAGAAAATTCACTCTAACCAACTGATTAGACTTGATACTGATTACGTAGTTATATTAATCAGATTAAATAAAAACTTCTAGCTCATGTTGATCTCATACACACAGGCCCTCTGAAATTAAATAATCTCAGCAAACTTAGTTCAGTATCAAGTTGCATCTATCTTAACCATTGAACAATTTATATTTTTTTTCTGAAGATGAAAAAGGATAAGCTCAATTTTCCAAATCTTGTGAGGAGCCTGGGATTTTCTCAGACTTCAAAAAAATCCTCTGAAGTTATGAGCATAGTAATTCACAATCTTAACTTTCATAGGAGCAGAATGTTCTGCAATGACAATGCTGGTTTTTACTCACTTCGTGCTGAGTATGAGTTTTATACATATTATCTCGATGCATCCTCACAGCAACTCCGTCGAAGTTGGATTATTATTATCCCCATTTTGCAGAGAAAGAAGCCAAAGTCAGAATGGTGGAGTCCTTGCCCAGGGTTACACTGCTGGTAGTGGTGGAGCCAGGATTTATACAGAGCTCTGAGGATTCGATGGCTCTGTTGGCAGATGCCAAGCTGAAATTGGCATTTCTGGAGACCATTGAAATACTTTCTACCTTCTTAGCTTCCCCCTAGATGCTTTTCCAGAACCATTTTTAGACAAATGCAGAGAAATGTTAGAATGCACAATCAGATGGAAAGCTGAAGTTTGTAAATTTTGGACTGGAATAAATAAGTTTTTTTCTAAGTGACTTTGTGGGGTTTTTTTGTACCCGATAAATAGGAGTATTTCAAGGGACCTTACAGATTATGGAATCCCTCCACCTTTTACTTATAAATGACGTTGCTAAGACTTAGAAAGATGTAACCATTTGGTCAGAGGCAAAGAGCAATGGCAGGACCCCAATGTTAAAATAATCACAACAATTGGTGTGATTGATTTTCCCCTTGAATTTCTATCATGTACCAGCTGGGTGACCATGGGCAAGCCACTTAGTGTATCTGTGTCTCAATGTCCTTTTCCACACGATAGGAGTCACAATGTACCTACCTCACAGGACTGGAGTGATGATTAAATGAACTAATGGGCATGGCATTGGTGTTATAAAATGGTCTGTTAGTTTTATTTAATTTAAAATAGAATCAATTGCCAAACAATTTTTAGATGGCCCTCCTTCTTATTAACAGAATAATTTTAGATTAAAAATCTAAAATGTAAGGCAACATGGCATAGTGCCTCAAAGTATGACTTGGAGCAGTTACATAACATTAGAGCTGGGGTTTCGCATCTATTAAATGGAGATAATAAATAGCATTTGACTCGTAGAATGAATTATTTAAATGAGGACTAAATAAACTAATATACTTAAAGGACTTAGAACAATTCCTGGCACATAAAAAATGCAGTAAATGTTAAGTACTTTTATTAAGGCACAATACAGAAAAGTAATTAGTAGGCTAAATTTACTGCTCAGTTGTTAGGGACAACCATAAACTTATTATATTGAAGTCTTTGTAATTTAGGTATATCAAAAAGAAAAAAAATAGACCTTTAAAAATGAGGACTTACGCTGTTGCAGTGCCCCTGATAGAACAAACAAGAGCTAGATATGTGCTCCTCGTGGTCCTGTGGTCAACGCATTACGTAACAGTGAATGAACGCCCAACCTGGCTTCCTTGGCTGTATTCAGCCACAATTATTCCATTTCCATTTATTGAGGCTCGTCGAATTAGAAAGGCCAGACAAGTCCCTGAGGTCCCAGCCTCTGTCTGTTAGAAAGTCCCAGAGTAAAGATCAGATGCTTTATTGATTTATTTAAATTGTCTAGACAAAAGTTTTTCTACTGGTTTTCTCTTTACTCATTATGGGTTCCCTTTAAAGCTGCAGTTCTGATTTTTGTTTTTATTTTTTGAGCTAGAGAACTTTTAAAAACCCTCCAGCACATCAAGTTAGTACAAACTAAGTATATGAATTTGTATTTTAATTAGAACAGTAGTTTTGCCAAGATAAAAAAAATGTATATCACAGTCAAGTAATTTATAAATATGACCTTCTTATATTAAGGGTTGCAGTTTAAGGTTGCTATTTTTCTCATTCATAACAAAGAATAGGATCTATGTTTACGGAGGTTGTTTAATATAGACCCAGACTTTTTTTATTTTAATTTTTTTGGGGGGTACAGCTAAAAAAGACTAAGTTTTTGAATGACTAACTCTGAAAAGCATTCTAAGACTTTCTTTTTCTTTTCAGGGAAATTATCTTTGAGGCCTTTCCTTCAAAAAGGAATGAGTTTCTTTAAATGGATATGAAAATGACATGTTTTTTCTATTAAGCCACCAGAGGTTGGAGTCCAACTTTAGTCAAACAGCTGCCTGCCACTCTCCAAAGACCTGATGAGCTACGTATTTTCTCTGTGCCATCTGTTTATCTATGAGTCAGAAAACCCTAGGCTAGTGTGGGGCCCACACAGACTTGAACCACAGTAGGAGTTACAAATGCCAACTGTCCTGAGGATTTAGCCTTCACCCCAGAATCAGAGGTGCTTCAGGGTTTGTACCACCTGGAAAGATACTGTTATTCCGCTTGGAATGGGCTCCCAACTCTTACCCCTTCAATAATCCCAGCTGTGATATGGTTATGCACGGCAAACAGAACAATGGCTGATTCGTTACTACGATAACATATTGCAGGTCAAAAGACTAAAATAGATTATGCAGATTCACTTTGAGTATCACAAAGCATGTGCCTGTCTCAATAACGTGCACTTTTGATCCCACATTGTGACCAAATCCCACTAAGGGCCAGAAGGCTGAGTATCAACAACAAAGGAGGAAAACAGGGGTGAAGAAAAAGAAAATCCTGCAAAAAGAGAAAAAAGATAAAGTTAGACTAGAGTAGCTAGGAAAG